GCTGGCCTCGAACTCACAAAGATCCACCTGCCTCTGCCTCCCAAGTGCTGGGATTAAAAGGCATGCACCACCACACCCAAAAACTCATTCAATTTTATGTCTTACAGGGCTTATACTGAGTTCAATATTGTATAACTGGATTAATTCAACTGTGAACCTAAAAATTTACAGCCAATTTTGAAAGAGATGCACCTTTGCTCTGGAAATTGTTATTAAATATGTTAATGATGCTGTAATGAAATGCTTCTAATCATGTGGTTATTAAATAATTAAAAAAATAATAATAATAAAGAAAGAAATGCACAAAAAAAAGTGCATGAAGTTTGGAGGAGGATGTGGGGGGAATCTGAAATGGGGTGGTGACTATGATCAAAAACATTATATGCATGTATGAAGTTTTAGAATAATAAATGAAATATTATATCAAAAAAAAATTTCATTTCCCACTCAAATCCAGACCCGCTCCCCCATCCATGCCTCCCCTATTCCCCACTGAACCCCATGCACTCTGCCATACATTCTGAGTCCTATTCATTCAGGTGTTTATACCCAAGTATCCTTCAGTGTAAATGTGTCTACTGGCATCTAGTCAGCCCATCCAGTGGTCGTATGTAAGTTATACTCTCCCTCACCCAGCAGCAATCAATCTCAAATAGTTCTCAATCTAGGGCTGGCCCACCACCAATTTCTCACCTCCCCTTTGGGCCCTTGTTTAATTGAGCTGACATGGGTCCCATGCTCTACACCACCTCTGCCAGAGGCTCACATGAGCAAGCCTCCAGTGGCCTGGAGGCCTCCACCTCCCTGTGTTTGTGAATCAGCCCTGGCTCCTACAGTCTTTCCACCTCTTCTTCCACAATGGTCCCTGAGCTGTGGGTGGATGAGGTTCCATATAGGAGTCCCATCCTACACTCTTATTCTCCAAAACTTGGCCAGTTGTGGCCTTTTGTGTGCATAACACTCTGATGTACATGGAAGCTTCACTGGTGAGAGTTGAGGGGTACATTAGCCCTCTTTACCCCTTATTCTGCTGTGTTCCATGAGCCTTAGTTGTAGAGATTTGACTGTAGATGTGTCACTTAGTATTGGGTATCTCCCAGGAATATGTTCTCTGTGCCTGACCAGATGTGCAACTCTGCAGTAGCTTCCATCTGTTGCAAAAAGAAGATTTTTTTGATGAGTGCTGTGTGGCATGCTTGTCACTCTAAGGGAGGGCTTTTCTATCTGGCACTGCATTCCCTGAAGTGCGACTCTTTAATACACTGCAGAGTTCTTCAAGTAGTTACATCAGATAGTTCAGCCAGTTTAGTGTTGTTTAGGTAGAAAGACTGCTGCGTCTTACTCTACCATCTTCCCCTAAGTCTGTCATTTTAGGCTGCCCTGGTCCTTGGGGGCATATTCTGTTTCTGAAATCCTGGCTTTGGCATTCAACTATGCCCATCCATTCCATGCTGTCCCATAGTTATACAGCCCACGAGAATAAGTCGTACCTCAGGTGCCTGTTGTCCTTAACTGTTCACTTTTTCAAAGAATCTTCCTTCTCAGTCTTAGGTCTGAAATAGTAGTGATCTCCATTCCTCTAATTCCTTTTGAGAAACAAAATTATCACAAGGCAAATCAAAAACTTAACCAGTGTCCCATAATTAGTGAATATTAGCTTCTCATAGTTAAAATTATATGTGGGTTTCCTTCATCACTAAGCAGATTTTGTTACATTTATTTACTTTAGCTCATGACTTGAGAAGAGAGATAGGAGACTGACAGGAGATATTTTGTAAGAAGCTCAAGGATCTAGTTCTTAGGTTGCTATTGTAGATATGGAATCACATCATCACCCAAAGGTTTAGGATAGGAAATCTCTTCAACACTTAGGATCTCAGGTTAGATTTGAAAGTCTTTCTCTTCTTCTAGGCTTTGTCTCTTCCTCTGGGCAGAAATCTAGTACAATCATTCATCACCTGCTGCTGGATGTCAGTCCCACTTTCTCCCTTTCTTGGGACCTTTATGAAGAACATAGACTTCCAAAACCCTCCTGTGGCTCTGGATTTGCAGAATGGGGTCTGGAGGCAAACAGTTGAGGGTTAGTATTTTAGCCGTGCCATTTCCTAGTTGTGTGGCCTTAGGCAAAAGTACTTAGCACCTAAGTTTCCCAGCTGAAAACTCTCACTACATTATGGTGAGGATTTATTGAGATAGCATATATTCAGCTCTTGGCACAGAACATGATAAGCTTTGCAATGGTCTTATGATTACTGCTATGGAAATTGGAGATGACATTGTGTTTTTTTATTTTATTTTTATTTTTTGGTGTGGGTGCGTGTGCATGTGCACACGGGTATACATGTGTGCACGTGTGTAGAGGCCAGAAGTTAACATTGGGTGTTTTCCATGATTGCTTACCACCTTATAATAATAACTATTATTATTATTTGCATGTGTGCATGATGTGTATGTGTGTGAGCGTGTATACCAACTTTGTGAAGTTGTCCTCCTTTTACATGGGTCCCAGGGATTGAATTCAGGTCATCAGACTTATATAGCAAGTGCCTTTTTACCCACTGAGCCATCTTGCTGGATCTCCATCTTATTTTTTTCTCACTGAACTTAGAACTCACTGATTTAGCTAGCCTGGGCAGTGAGCTCCGATATCTGCCTGTCTCTACCTCCCCGGTTCTATTATTACAGAAGTGTGCAAACACACACCCAGCTTTTTATGTGGGTGCTGAAGATCCAAACTCAGGTCCTCATTCTGGTGCAGCAAGCACTTTGCTAAGCGTATTTAGAACAGTGCTGTTATACTCCTCTGTAAAATGAAGTGTCAACTATTTATCAAAGAGGTTTTCTTTGACATTCCATAGTTCTGACTTCTGGACTGAATTGTTCAAGTGATGTTTTGGATGTAAGATTTTATTGTCCATCAGGAGAAAAGTAGAAATGGGTATACAGGGACTACCAGTATTTATTTGGTAGCCACCATTTGATGGGTGTTTATATTATAATCTTTCTTGACCATAGTAACAAATGAGAAACTGTGACTGAGGAAAGTTGAGCAATCCTTTTAAATTTGTGTACAGCTAGCAGAAGACAATGCCCCTGAGATCAGATACATTTGTTTCTTCTTTACTATTCCCATTTCTCCTGAGACTTATAAAGATATGGTTGTGATTCCTCTTATCTAATATTTATGTGATTTTTTAGGGTAGATATTTTTTATCTGTGACACTGAGTAGAGAGAGAAAAATGTAAGTAGATTTTCTCCCACTTTTTATATTTAAGCAAATCTCTTTCTTACAGGTAGCAGTATCAGATGTGCAGTTCGGCCCCATGAGATTTCATCAAGCTCAACTTCAGGTACTATGGTATAATGATCACATTCTAATTTTCTTTAGTGGTGTGATGGTGTTTAAAGTTAGACATTTAAGATAATTACTCTTCTATTTTATGTTGGGGTATATAAATGTGTGCATGCTCACGTGTGTGCATACATACAATAGAGAGAAAGTAAAAACAAAGGTAGCCAAAGGTTAAGGACTGTGATCAGTCTAGAGGAAGAGTGAGTATTCATTGTCATTTACAATATTTCTTTGTTTTTTTTCCAAATAAAAGGTAAAATTTAGTTTCCCACCACATATACCTGGGATTAAAGTCATGTGCCACCCCACCTGACATTTAATTTATTTGCTTTTGAAACAAGGTCTCATGTAGCTCATTCTGGCATCAGCTTGCTTTGTGCTGATCCTCTTCCTAAGTACGGGGTTTACAGGCATGTGCCACCATTCCTGGTTTATGGGATGCTGGGGATTGAACTTAGAGCTTTATGCATGATAGGCAATACTCTGCCATTTCAGCTGTATCCTAGCTCTTAAACATAGTCTTCTCTAGGTTGCTGAATATTATTTGTCTAAGTCAAACTATAAGTGAGAAAACATTCAATTAAGATGTACGTAAGTTATTTGAAGCTTCCTACACATGGACATATGTTCACTATTATATTTTAGAAGTGTGAATGATGAGGCTGACAGAAGTGTATGTTCTTGGTTCCTTGCATTTGTAGTATTTGAGCAGTTGTTCAAATTTTAAAGGAGATAATAATCCTCGGGGAAGAGGGTTTATGTCAGCTTTATAGTTTCCATCTCCCAGCCTACCCCACTGCCACATGACCCCTGCAGCCTGGCTCTGAAAGGGTGGAGCAAAGGTGTTCTGAACCTGATTTGGCTGAGAGGCCTAGTTGGATAGGGGAAAGGCAAGAGATCCAGGTCAAGTGCCAAGACAGCTAGTCATTGTTTTGGCATTGGTACAGATGCTGTCTTGTGTACCCTGTGCTATTCCTGTATCGCTTAACTAGCAGGTTTTGAAATATAACATTTTAGTCTTCAAATCTTTCCTCATATTCAAAGTGATTTTGTTTAACTTGGAGGCATTACATAAAATCTTGAGTCAAAACATATTAAGTACATTATTTAAGAATTATGTGTTCCAATACATACATTGGAATATTAGCATTTGCCATCTGAGGCATATTCAGTTAGCTTTCTGTTAGCATAAATATTTGTGTGTTTTAAAATAAATATTCTATCAAGTCTTTATTGAGTCCCATCAATGGTTTTTTCAGCAAAAGAAGTAAGCATATAATATAAGCACTTAGATTTCCAGAGTAGAAATTAGCACCTGTTTGAGGACTATGAATGATAATATCCCTGAGTTATATGTAGAAAAAAATGTATTTACAGATGTTATGTTTATATCTTGTGCTTTATCTTGAAAATACTTGGGAATTTTCTGTGGCTTATTAAGAAATGACAATTATAGCAAGATTTAAAAAAATGTGTTTGTGCTCTTTTGTTTCAGGTACTTTTAGTGTTTACCAAGGAAGATAACCAGTGCAGTGGATTCTACAGGGCATGTGAAAGAGCTGGGTTTAAATGTACAGTCACCAAGGAGGCACAGGCTGTCCTTGCCTGTTTCCTGGATAAACTCCATGACATCATCATCATAGACCACAGAAATCCCCAACAACTGGATGCAGAAGCACTATGCAGGTAAGCCAGAGACACAGGCCTAAAGGCATTTGTGACAGTAAGTGCTCTCTGCAAATACATTAAACTAAATTCAATCTCCCTTTCCTTGTATGCAAAATAAGTAAGATAATAAATATTATTGTTTCTAAGATGAATCTTTATCTCTTATTTTGTCTTGCTTGCTTTGTTTAAAACAGTAAGAAACTGCCTAGAATACATGAAGCTCTGGGTTTGATCCCTAACACCACAAAAAATCAAAACAAAAACAACAGTAAGAAAATATGAATGACAGGGCTGGAGAGATGGCTCAGCGGTTAAAAACACTGACTCTTCTTGCAGAAGACCTGGGTTCACCTCCTAGCACCCATATGGCAGCTAACAACTGTCCATAACTCCGGTTCCAGGGGATCTGACAGTCTCTTGGTCCTCTGTGGGCACTGCATGACATGGGTGCACTTACCTACATGCAGGCAATACACACATACACATAAAATAAAAATAATAAGTGAAATATTTTTTTAAAAAAAGAAAATATGAATGACAACCATCAAGAGTTAAAATGAAATCTGACATTTAATTAAGTCCAGCTGTCGCCTATATATCACTGCAACAAGAATGATTATAATTTTCCAAATTGTTTTTTATATTTTATTATTTTTATTTTATGTGTATGAGTATATTGCCTACATGTGTTTAAGTGCACCTGTGCCATGCAGTACCTACAGAGGTCAGAAGAAGTGGAGTTAGGGACATTATTAGCCACCATGTGGGTGTTGGGAATCGAACCTGGGTCTTCTGCACAAGCAGCCAGTGCTCTTAACTGCTGAGCCATCTCTCTAGCCCCCCAAATTATTTTTAAAGATTTTTTTTTGTGGTGTACACATGTGATCATGTAAGTGTGTGTGTGTGTGTGTGTGTGTGTGTGTGTGTGTGTGTGTGTGTAAGTGTGTGTGGAAGCCAGGGGTCAATGTCAGATGTCTTCTTCAATTATTCTCTACCTTATAGAAACAGGCTCTCTCACCAGACCTGGAGCTTATCTATTCAGCTAGGTCAATGAGTTTCAGGGATCTGCCTGTCTCCACCCACCCCCAGCCCTGAGGTTATAGATGCATACCTCATAGACAGGATTTTACATAGATAGTAGGGATTTAAACTCATGCTTTCCTGTCAGACCCTCTGAGGAACTACATTTCTTCCTGATTGATAGCTTTTGTAAACATGGCCCCAGAACTGAACAGCACTCAGTAGGCTTGATTGGCCAGTGAAGAGTCAACAAAGCAGTCCCTCATTGTTCTCAAAGAGCAGATCTTTACAGATGTGGTTCCTGATCATATTCTTTTCCTGATGGGCTCTGGCCAAGAATCTCAGGTCTTTCTGCCTGGTTCTTTCTTACTACATCATCTTCATCTTGTTAGGTGAGAGTTTAGGATGAGGGTGGGTCTTTGTATTGTTCCTAGTGAGTTTTCCAAAGGCAAGAGTAGGCCCCTATTTATTTTCCTAAGTTTAGCTGGTTTTATCACTTTTCAGATCACCTCTAGAGAGATGTCTGCCTAATATGAACTGTTTCTTCAAGAAATCTCTCCAGAGTTCCACTCCTTAACTGACTTTCTTTTTTCCAAGCAGTCTTGCACAGCCCATGAGCACTCTTCTTCCCATTATTCTCTCTTTTAGATTCCTCAGCAATACCAGTAACCTGTGAAGGGCTTTTCACCAGTTGCTGACCTATCCAAATTACGTCATTTGCCTGCAGCTCTCTATTGGGGGAATTTGGAACTCCTCACACTCCTATGAAATACCTTTTTGGAGGCCAAATATTCTGACTGTTATTTTCCAAACCCACTAGTTTAGGAGCCTTTGCAAGTCTCAGGCACTACGTGTGGTACTCAAACTGTATAGATGAATAAAACATGGTTCTTACCTCTGAGGAACTAATGCTCAAGTTGGAAAGTGTGATGGTTAATTTCAGATTGTCAACTTGACTAGATTAAGAAATGCTGAGGGTACTAGATACCTTTGTGAATGTGAGAATGTTTCTAAAGAGGATTAAATGAGAGGGTGAGTCCTGCTCTGAATGGACTGGGGTCCTGGACTGAATAAAAAGAGAAAAAGGAGAAAGCCAGTTGAGCTCAGGAATTCCCTTTTTCTCTGCTTCCTGATTTCCTAAAATATAAGTTCCCTCTGCCACAGCTGTGAGCTACTCCCGCCACCATGCTTTCTCCATAGTGATGGACTGTGTCTCCTGAACCATGGACAAAAAAAACCTTTCCCTTTCCTCCCTTAAGTAGCTTCTTGTTAGGTAATTGATCATACATAAGAAAAGCAACTAATTCACAGAGTAACTTTGTTTCATGTAACTATTGCATAAAACTTGGGAGTAAGTAATTTAAAAAGAACACAAATTCATTTTCTTGTAGTTTTGGAGACTGGGAAGTCCAAGTTCAAGGTGCTGATAGGTTCAGTTGTCTGGCTGCATTCTCTGGAATGACAGATTGTTAAATGAAATCTCTTTATTAAGGTCCTTAATTCCATTCAATAAAGATCAACCCACAGAGCCTAAGAAGTTCTTAAGGCCCTACCTCTTGATTCTGTCACATTTGCAATTACTAAATTTTGGAGGGAGCATAGACAAGGCATACAGAGTGAGTGAGCTCAGTGCCCATAGAGGCTTATCAGGAACACTAGGAGTACCTGTATCAAATAGGACTTCAAAAAATATTTGAGCTAGTACTGAGGGATGAACAGAAGTTTGGAAAAGAATAGAGGTGGAAAGCATATGGTAGAGAGGGCACTATGAGAAAGAAGAGTGGGTGTCTGGGCTCCTCTGCTCAGTATTCATGGCTGCTGGTCAGGCAACTGTAGAGTATAGCTCAAGGGAGACCTGAACTGCAGACATGAGCCAGCTACAAAGGCTTAGTGTGCTGAGCCAGAGTTTTTGGACTCTATTCTGAGGGCAGTTAAGAAAGATATTCCAGGCATGGTGGTCCATACTCTACTTCTAGCATTTAGGAGGTAGAAGTGGAGAATCAGGATTTTGAGTCCAGTCTGGGCTACATAGTGAGCCCTTGTCTTTGTTGTACTGTCAAGACTAATAATGAGCTGTTTCTGAGCTATGCCCAGCATATTTTAGTCTCTGCAGATGAAGTACCAATGAAGGAAGGTGGTGGGAAGGAGCTCTGATTCTCTCCCATTGCTGTCTGCTAAACTTGGGATGCTGGAGTTATACTCACCAAAGAAACAGGTGCCTAAATCCCACTGAGCAGCAAGGCTTCTGTGAACTTAGAGGACTGCACTCCAGCTCTTGCTGTCCCTGCTGTCCCTACTGCCTCTTTGGTCTTTGCATTCTACATCCACTGAGAATCCCAAAACAGGATGGCCAGAGCAGTGATTTTTCCTACCTGTCATAAGAAGGGATAGAAGCACAAGGAGACTGAAACCATTGCTTCACATTGTGCACTTTCCAGATAGCAAACTACATTGATTTTTTTTTTCAGATGTAGTGTGAGAACTAGAGAGTATGCCAGGAGCCCCCTGGGCAGTAGACACCACACACTGCCTGCTGACAGTGCTTTCCAAGCCTCAGCTGTGCCTGACTTGACCTTCAGCACTGACCTGAGAACAAAATGACTTTGCACCTTGAGTTCAGTGAAGCAAGCTAAGCAAACTGCCTTGCTCTGTCAGTATCCTGGAGAGATGTCACTTCTGTTCAGTAGTAAGTGACAGGAGGTTTATAACAAGAGCTGCCTCAACATAAAGGCAGGGAAAGAATAGCACTAATGGCTGAGAAGATTAATTGTATATGTTTATGTGTATGTGTGTGGTATATGTACATATTCATGTATGTATGGGTATACAGATGTGTATATGCACATGTGGAAGCCAGAGATTGATGTGAGGTATCTTACTTGATTAGTCTTCACCTTTTTTTTTTTTTTTTTTGTCTTTTTTGAGACAGAGTCTCCCAATAGCCCCAGCTGTCCTGGAACTCACTGTGTAAACCAGGCTGGTCTTGAACTCACAGAGATCTCTCTGCCTCTGCCTCACAAGTGCTGGAATTAAAGGTATGCGCCACCACACCCTGCTAGTTTTCACCTTTTTTTAAAGACAGGGTCTCTCACTGAGCCTCGGGCTCATTGATAGGTTACACTGTCTGGTCAGCAAACTCCAGGAATCCTCTTGTCTCAAGACCCCCTCCCCCAGCCTTTGCTAGGTTTACAGACATGTTTTGACACTTTTGGCTTTTACATGGATGCTGAGGATCTGAACCATGCTTGTGTGGAGGACATTTACCAACCGAACCATCTCCTTAACTCCCAAAATCAGTTGAGAGAGAGAGAGAGAGACTGCAGAACCTTCTAGAAGCCTTATGTTTAGTATACTCTGAAGAGGTGAAGAAATATTCCTTGGTGCCACAAGAGTATACCTCCATCATGAAAGGAAAGATTTCATGAGGGAAGATGGAGGCTATCAGAAAGCACTATGTGGAAGGAAAACCAACGCTTAGGCAGAATTGTATGAAGAAGCAAGATTTCACTCAGGGCTGGGGAGATAGCTCAGCAGGCAAAGCACTTGTACAAGCATGAAGATTAGAGTTCAGATCCCCAGAACACATTACTGGCAGATGGGCATGGCTTACCCATAATTCCAGCCTCAGAAGGCAGAGACAGTGGATCCCTAGAGCAAGCTGGCTAGATCGAGGAGCTGAAACAAGCGAGCTCCAGGTTCAGTGGAGAGACCCTGCCTCAATGAATAAGCTGGAGAAAGACTGAGGACAACTCCCAATGTCAGCTGGGACCTATACATATGCACATGTGTGTGCCAACAAGCATAAACACATGCAGCCACACCACAAATATGGAAACATGCCACCACCCCACCCAAAAAAGAATGAACTCAGAGTGTCAAAAACATTTGTACAATTTCTTGATTTACTTTGGTCTGGAGATGCTTTATACTTTTTTTTTTTTTTTTTTTTTTTTTTTTTTTTTTTTTGGTCTTTTTGAGACAGGGTCTCCCTGTAGCCCCAGCTGTCCTGGACCTCACTATGTAGACCAGGCTGGCCTTGATCTCACAGAGATCTACCTGCTTCTGCCTCCCAAGTGCTGGGATTAAAGGCATGTGCTACCACACCCAGCATCCTTTATACTTTTAAAATTTCTCTTTTTTTCAATCTGAAACTCATTTGACATGGCAGAGAAGAGTAATACAGCAATAAAGTGTAAGTAATAAACTTCTGCTTTTGAAAAATGTAACTTTTTAAAGGGCTCTGCTGTGTTCTTATTGTGACCCTCCAGCGGGTAGTCTTTTTTTTAAATTTTTTTTTATTTTTTGGCATTATACCTGGTGTGACTAGAGATTGGTAGTTTCCCCCAGTACCCATTTCTGTTCTTTTACTCATAACAGGATTTCTGATACTTGGCTGAACATATAACCACCCAGAAAATTCACTGCATTCCCTAGCTTTTCTTGTAGCTGACCACTGGAACTATACTTTCTGGAAAGTATCCTTGAAGGGAGGACACATGCTCTTTTTCCTAATATCTAGAGTGTAAACGTTATGGCTAGCATTCAAATCAATCTTGGATCATGGGGAAGAAATATTTAGACAATAATAGAGAAACACACAGTGAAAAAGCTAGGCTCCTGGTCTTGCACAGTGCCATGGCTTCCCTGAATTATCTCCTGTGCACATCTTTTATATACGAGATAGGAATGTATATTTAAGCCACTGTTCTTTGGGGTTTTCTAACATGTGCTGGCAAGTTGACTCCCAGTGAACAAAAGGTAGTATGATTTTGACAGTTCTCCTGCATGCTTGCCTAGCCTTCAGAGTCTTAGAAAACAGGATCATGCCCCATCTTCTTTCTGACCTTGAAATTGGCCCTCCTAGTGTCTAGATGTACATTTTGATTATGCCAAGCCATTTCTTTGCAAGTTTCATGAATTCTAAAGCAGGGATATTATTTTTCAAGACAGTTTTCTGATATTTCTATTTGTAGTCAATTCTTCCTTTTGCTAGAAGTCAAGAGTACACCTCTCACCTCTATCTTCACATTACAGTTTTAGTGCTACTCTGATGGACTTGTGTCCAGGCAGACATGGTCCTCTCTTCTGCTTCTTCCTTGGCTCAGTGACCCTTGTTTTTACTTCCAGTATGGGCAGGTCATCCTGAGCTCCTCACTGAGATCATTTGCATGGTTACCTACTTGCCATTATATTACAGTACCACAACGTTTTTCCTCTAAAAAACTGAGAACTGATTTGAAGTGGCTGTCTACAAACTCAAACTTCCCTTTCTTCACTCTGTGTTATGATAGAGATGGAAACATAAGAACAGATACAGCATCTCTGGTGATCATAGGAATAGCTTTTGTGAGTCTGCCCTCCATTTGTCCAGATGGAGATTAGTACTAGGATGAGTATTAGCCCCAAGGAGTACACTAGCTGTGAGTGTCTGTTGTGCCAGTGACCCGTCTAGGCCACCCTTCCCTAGCCTTTCTTCAGGAAACTAAGCCTGGTCTTCTCCAGGCAGGAAGACCAGGGCTGGACACCTAGCTAGCAACCCCACAGTGGTCTGTTGGGAAAGTCTTTTTCAATAGAACCCTGCAATGCCCTTTAGGTTGGCTCCTCTGGGGAGAAAGGGCAGGTGAGAACTAGAGGAGTCCAGTGGACACTTGGAAAAGCAGGACTGTTGAGAAAGAGGTGGAGAGGTGAGCTGTATACCCATGAGAGAGATTGGTTGGTCCTTGGGACTACCTTTGATTCCTGAACAGCTCCCCCTTTAGGGCTAGTCTCTATCTATCCTTAGACTCTAAATCTTTCACAGCCTGACACCCACAGGAATCGGTAGCCTGTATGCCCTAGGGTAGGAGTGAGCAAAGGAGAATAATTCCGTGGTCACATTCCCTACAGTCTGTATAGGCGGGAACCTGTGGCGATGCACAGAAGCTTGCTTTTCCCTTCTGCCAGAAGAGACAAGTAACTATAGCCCCTTTTATATAAACACAAAGTAGGGGAAATTCTCCACCTGAACCGGCCTACGTTAATGCAAAAGAAGGCATGTCAGTAGGTTGTTCAATTAATATGGTTCCCTTTGATTTTTTAAAAACTAGCTAGGCATTATTTATCTCATCTCTTGCATTGTCTAACCCTTCCACCACCTTCTACCATGGTTTCCCCATTTAAAGTACCCCCAACCTACTGACAAATTATACATACAACTAGCTCAAGGAATATAATATATATCTAGGTAAGGTCTATCTGAGAACATTTGGTCTTTGCCCAAGCTTTAACTACATAGCACATGGTAATTAAAAGTACCAGACTGGTGGAACTAACAACCTTCTTGGATGTTTAACAGCCATACTTTGAGGCCTATACTAATTTGGTCAGAGGGACATAAAGGACAGTTTTTGCTCCTAGGTCCACTAAGTTCCAGGGTACTATGAGCATCTCTCAAAATGTCCCGTAACTGCGGTGAGTCATCTGTCCTCTTGATCAAGGAGGCCATGGAGACCCCATCAAATAGACTTGGACTACTGTCCAGTCTACAAAGAAGAGGGTCAACATAGAGGAAATGTTTCCTCCATGTTTCTAAGCTAAGCCAGCCGTGGTTGAGTAGGACCTTTGACTTATCTTCACATAGATGGAACTGGTAAAAGAAAGGAGCCAGGGGCTGCTCCCAAGCCCATGTGACCCCAGAGGGACAGATCCTCAAATGGCCTTAAGAGTAAAAATAAATTGGTTTATCTGGGCCAACTGTATGGTCTTAAACACCCAAAAGGAAAGCATAACCAAAGATTAAAGGGGGTCAATATAATTTTTTAAGAGTCCATGTGTAAAAGGCTACATAACAAGAAACAATGCCAGACAGGAGATACCTTCCTTTGAGTTGTTGGCCAGGGTGGCCCAAGAGACTCCCAGAAAGTAACCCAGCATAGAACTGGGAAAATGAACAGCAGACCCCAATCTTATCTAAAGGAATATTGACAACTGATTGCTGCTAGATGAGGAAGAGCTGATCTTCCTAAAACAAGGAACTCTAGATAGGCTGACTAGACTCAGAGGATGGACTTGCACTGGGGAATGGCTGGGGGCACTGACAACATAGTGGACAGTAACAGGGATGACAGAGTATATGGGCTCCAGTGGAGGGGGTTGGGGGAGGCTATGGGAGGGTACCATTTGGGAAGTGGGTATATAGATGGATAAGATTGTGTGGGATGTTCTATATGATATACACACAGAAAAATCACCAACAACAAAAAAAGAAGGCATGTCATCTTAGTTAGCTGTTTCAGTCATACATGATAATTGTTGTGGTTATTACAGCCTACTAATTAGGAGTTTATCCACAAAGAGAGAAGGATCAAGTAGCCAAGGAGGTAAATCTAGAGTGTGAGGGGGATCCTTTCCTCTTTTGTTTTCCTCCCTAACTTTAACTGTACAACTAAAATTATGAAAGCATATTTATTTTTAAGAATCTTATAGTTATTTAAAAATTTTGTTTTTTTAAAGGTCTATCAGAGCATCAAAACTCTCAGAAAACACGGTTATTGTTGGTGTAGTACAAAGGTAAACATGTTTTTTCAATGTTGAAATTCAGATGTCAATGTAATGTTTGTTATTACCAGATGGCAGAATAAGGGCCTGCCTGCTGTGATGCAAGAGCCCCTTTGAAGTCTGGCCTTCTTTATTCTAGCATTTTATTTTTCTCCTCCTGCTGACTTCAGGGAGGGAGTTCTACTCTCAAGCTAGGTTTTCTGATTTTAAACTGCCTTTGCTTCAAAATCACACAAAACCATAAGAGAATTCCATTCTTGTAAAGGTGAAGATTTTCTAGAGATGTCTTCCTAGGGTGCTTAGTTCAGGTATCTGTAAGGATTTGAATGACACATAAATGAGAAGACTCTTATTCTTAAATCAGAGTAAGTAAAGAAGGAGACTATATAAAGAGAAAGGCAAGTATTTAAATAAGTTCTGTTTAGTATGTATATATATATGTATATATATGTGTGTGTGTCTGTCTCTGTCTGTCTGTCTAGAAATGTTTCTGTGTCCTTTAATCTATTGAAAGTAGAAGAGAGAATTTAATTTGTTTAAAATTTTATATATTAAATAAATAACATGAACACTATTCAATTGTAAATGTGATTTTTGCATTTAAAGCATTATAATACTTGGATACAGTACCAGACACTTGCAGTCCAGCACTCAGGAGGCTGAGGAAGGAGGATTGCTTGAACCTAGGAGTTTAAAGCAGCAAGACCCCATCTTTCAAAAAATTATAATAATATCCTGCCAAAAAGCTAAACTGAAAGTTTAAACAGGAATGACTTTATACACATATATCTAATTCATCTAAAAGTACTCATTATATGACAGTTGAGGTATTATGTAAATTAGTGAATAGTAAAAGAGGTGAAATGTAACTGATAAACACTATCTAACCTTTCCTATCTTCTTCTGAAGGATGGACAAGGAAGAGTTGTCTTTAATGCCCTTCATTGCTGCTGGCTTCACACGGGTATGTACCTACTTCTTATATAATTCAGTGCGAGAAATTATTTTACATCAGTCCAGTGTCTAGCAAAAATTTTGAATTAATTTGGAGAAAAAAATAATCCTGTGCTGTGTCACAGTTGGTTTGATTTTATAATCTTGTAATCTAACACTTTACTTCCTTAGTCTCAAACTATGCTTACTAAAGTCATCCAAACTTAAAATCTCCTATGTCATACCCATTGAAAAATTCTACGGAATGTGTTGTTATAATGCTTATGTGTATAGTTGAAAAATTTAAAGGCAGTTCCATGATTCTGGAAACAAGTCAACCTGAACATAACTCCTACCTCTAACCTGTTGGTTTCCCTCAAACCAAAAGCCTCAGGATTTTAGCTAGCTGATGGTAATGAAGCTTTAAGAGCTGGGGACATAATTGAGTGGTAGAGCACTTGCTTAGCATATAGGAGGCCTTGAGTTTGATTCCTGGCACTGAAGTACAAACAAAATCAAAAGGCATCTGGGAGAATAGGTGGGTATAGAGGCACATATCCCAGCACTGAGGAGACAAAGTTCTTGGCCAACCTGAGCTAATAGTGAGAGCCTGACTCAAAAACTAAACCAAATGAACAAACAAAAAGGTAGGGAATTACGATGGAAAGACTTAAGCAAATGCAGACCCTCCCAGACAGATTTTGTAGCAAAAATTTGTAACCATGCTGTTCCCCAGTAGCCTCAAGCCATGATTTTAGTTTAGAGTGGTCTTCATGGGTGGGGCTTCCTAAGCTGCTGGCAGACCAAGTACAAATCCTTCCCAGAGGTGAGATACCTTCATTGTTGGCTTCAGAGGTGCAGATTGAATTTGAAGAAATGAAAGCATAATGACTGAAATTTTCAAAAATTAGGAGGACAAAACAAATAATCCAGTATGTAGTATAGAAAAATAATGACAGGAAATAAGTGAGAGAAGTTAAGAAATATTGAAGGTGGGTTGTGGAGTTCCAAGAGAAGAGGAAGAACCGGGGCAGAGCTAAGATTTGAAGAGTGAATGGCTGAGAAATTTTCAGCACTGATAAAAGACTAATGTATAGATTATAACATTCAAAGTTCAAAGTACATTTTTTTTAAAGGGTACATTATGGGGCTGGAGAAATGGCTCAACGGTTAAGAGCACTGACTGCTCTTACAGAGGACCTGGGTACGATCCCCAGTACCCATATGGAGGCTGTAAACTGTCCTTAACTCCAGATCCAGGGGAATCCTAAGCCCTCTTCTGACCACCGTGGCATTGCAAGACACGGGTGCACTCACATACATGCAGACAATACACTCAAAAACATAAAAATAATAAGCAAAATATTAAAAAAAAACTTTTAAAAAGAGGGTACATTATAATGAAACCACAAAAAACAAAAAATAAGAAAACAGATCTGAAAATCAGCCAGAGGAAAAAGGGTTGCCTTGAAAATAATGACAGACCAAAAGCTAGCCTCTCAGCTGCAGTGGAAAACAGAAGATGATGTTATCAATGTGTTAAGAATAAGTAGTAGCCATCCTAGAATTCTATACCCAACATAATTTTTTTTTGAGACAGGGTCTCCCTTGTAGCCCAAGGTGGCCTAGAACTCACTATGTAGACCAGGTTGGTCTCGAACTCACAGAGATCCCCCTGCCTCTGCCTCCTATATGCTGGGATTAAAGGCATGTGCCACTGTGCCAGGCTAGATATCTTTCTTGAATAAGAATGAAATAAAGACTTTCAGAAATGACGGTAATGGAGAATTTCTAACTAACAAATCCTGACCAGGAAATTAGTGTACTTCAACTGGAAGGAATGAGAATCTCGGATGAGAGATCTGAACTAGCAGGAATGAGGAAAAAAGGAAAATGGTGACTATGGGGCAAATATAAACATATATTTACTATGTAAAATAGTAAAAATGATGTCTTTTTTTGATTAGCTACTTCAGGGAGAAAAGGACTGCAAATCTTGATCATGTACTCTGCTAGGTTGTTCACCTTTCAGAGCAAAAGAAAGGTATTTCTTTGAGGGCTGTACATAGAATTCAGAGGTATATTTTCCTCAAAAGTCCTGAGGAAAAAAATTGAGAAAAACATTCTAATTATACAAGAAAGAAACTAACCATATAGGAACCTCAAGAACATCCTCACAGTCTCCTTTCCTTTCTCTCTCTGACTCTCTCTCTCTCTCTCTCTCTCTCTCTCTCTGGGGTGTGTGGGTATGTGTGGGTGTAGTTGGTTCAGTTTTTATTATCTATAAAATATTCCAGCTGGATAAACAGATTAGAAACTGTAATTTGGGGGGATATCTTTTTGAAACATGGTCTCCCTGTAGCCCCAGCTGGGGCTATGTACTACGGTACTATGTAGACCAGGCTGACCTTGAACTCACAGACATCCAGCACTTGGGAGGCAGAGGCAGGTGGATTTCTGTGAGTTCCAGGTCAGCTTGCTCTACATAGCGAGTTCCAGGCCAACTGTGGCTACAGAGAGACCCTGTCTCATAAAGACCAAAAAAAAAAAAAAAAGTAGATAACTAGGTATGATTCCTTGTCCCAAGATCTTGCCTGAAGGGCAGTTGAGGATCCCCGCCTGGCTAAAGACCTCTACCCCCACCTGCTGCAGTGTCCAGAAATTCCTCCTCCCTGTCCTTGCCTAGTCAGCCATGGATACCTATGTGCATGGACTCAGGTATTCCCCTGGAGTGCTGGCTGATATAGGCAGCAGGTCCAGCATTCTTTATCCCTTTCAGGAGGTGAGAGATAGAAGGCACGTCATCTCTGCCAGACCTCTGGGTAAGACGGGTTTGGCCTACAGGCATGGAGACCCATCATACCCCTGGCCTCAGTCCTTGTCTCACCTGCTAGGGTGGCACTAGATGTTCTTTTCATTCCTATAGGAGTTTGTAGGCAGAATGCTTTCTCATACCATCTCTGTCCTCATGGTGATCTGTGGTGGGTAGGAACAGTATTACTTTTCTTGTTTTACAGGTGAGGAAGCAAACTCAGGAAGGGTAAGTGCCTCATTAGGATCATACAACTTTTTAAGGCATGGACCTGGGATGTTTATATTTCTTGCCACACAGACAAGATGCTGATTGTGATTAAAGTGGGACGTCTGCCTTTACCATGGCAATAGCTCCTCAAGTGGCCCATGTGCCAACTTGATCTGACTGGGGTTGGTGTACAGTAGCCTGCAGAGGCTCTGCCTCTTAGGCCTCAGTTTCCTCCTCAATCAGTTATTATGCATTTATTGTATAGATAAAGACAAAGAGCTCTTCCCAGAAATTGGAGAAAAAGCTCATAAATGTTTTTCCATCAGGATGAAGCTTCAGTTGGCCCTCTGTCCCCGAGTTCCATATCTTCAGGTTCTATACTGGTAGATTCTTTCAACTACAGACCAAAAGTATTCCATATGTCCAACATATACAGATTTTCCCTACCTGATATAGTATAATACGCATTTATCTTATATTTGGTAATATAAGCACTCTAGAAATCATTTAAAGTATACAGAATGATGGTATCATTTATTTGTAAACATGATGCCATTTATATAAGGGGTTTGAGCATCTGTGGATTTTAGTATTCTGGAGTGGTTCTGGAATAAATTACCTTTGGATACCCTGAAACTATTATGTGTGCAGAACATAGTGACTTCTAAAGATATCTTCATGAAATTCATCATTTGATGGTGGAATAGATCCATTTTCTTGTAATTTACTTTGTTATGGGAATTTTTTATGATGTAAAGGTTTCATACAAGCTACTTAACGTCTATAGCAATAAGAGACACTGGGCAAATTCATGCCTTCTCCTGGTACCTTGCTGTGGAGGATGATCACCAGTCAGCCGGTTTGGAGGTTAGTGTAGGAAAATTATGCCCAAGTAGGAATTCCTTCCATGAACTACAGGTGCAAGTAGAAGCACAGGTGCTTCAGACAGTGAACTTGTCTGAAACAAAATATTGTTCCTGAAACTACTCTGAAACTCTAATATACGTAAGACTTTGTTTAATAAATTTCCTCTGTATGTATTCTAGCTTCTGCTTTATTAGTGAAATGTAGATAAGCAGAAAACTGTTGCTTTTTAAAAAAGCTAATTGGTGTCTTTAAATTTCATCTCCCTTGCTCAGTATTAATGATTATGAAATGGTTTTTAAATTGCAGTAGCCAAATTGAGAAGTTTGTTTCGTTTAGAAATTTTTTGTGCATGGCACACATCAGAAGTGCTTCTTTATCTACAAAACTCCCCTTTCTGTTTATAGAGGTATATAGAAAACCCCAGTATCATGGCCTGTTACAACGAACTGCTCCAGTTGGCGTTTGGAGAGGTGCGATCACAGCTCAAACTCAGGTAATTCTGCCTCTGCTTAGAAAACCTCCAGGCCCCCAAGGCAGCCTTGCAAGTGAGAATTTTTTGGCTATAACTGATACCAGTTAATATGGGATTTGTGAGGGATGGGAAAATGACTCAGTAAAGTGCCTTCCATGAAAGTATGAGGACCTGAGTTCAGATCCCCAGCACCCACAAAAAAGCTGGGCATTCCTGTAATCCTAGTATTGGAGAGACAGAGACAGAAGGATTAGTCCAGCCAAATCAGTGAGGTTCAGGTATAGCCCTGCCTCAAAAAATAAAGTGGAGAACAGTTGAGGAAGGTTTTTGTCGATCTCTGGCCTCTACACACACACACACACACACACACACACACACACACACACACACACTATTCAGTAGAGAACATACATTTCTTGAAGTATGCCATGTCTTAGAGAATGCTCCTTTTCTTCACTTAGTAGACAAAATTGTGTAAATGAAAAACCAAATCCTGGAAATATTGGAGGGAGAGAAAGGGCCCCATTTTTTTTTTTTTTAAAGATGTGATGGATGGTAGGCCAGCAGTGCTTCTCAAGACAGACTTTCTGGAGGCCACCTCAATTCTAATCTTACTGACCAGGGACTGCCACTGGTCACATGAGACCCCAAAGTAGTAGTAAATGAGAAAAGGTAAGACACAAAACCATACATACTGGATTTTCTGCTTTGCGTTCTAAGGAGGAAAATACTTTAAATATACTATACCCAACATATTGTCATTTTTCTCTGTGGCAAGTGGCAATTTTTTTCTACTCTACAACATGAATTTGTAATTTGTTCTTTTTTTGTTTGTTGTAGTGGAACTTGCTTTGTAGCCAAGGATGATCTTGAATTCCTAATCTTCCTGCCTCAGCCTTTGAACTGCTGGAATTACAAGCATAGATACCATTGACTGTAATTTGGTTTTCATGAAAAAAAATTGGGGTTTTGAGATAGAGTCTTGCTATACAACTTATGGTAGCCTTGAACTTGAAATCCTCATGCCTTAGCCTCCTGAGTACTTGGATTATAGACCTGTACTACCAGTAGCTGAGAGTTACTTATTTTTAAATGAAATAAGCTGAATCCTGGTTGCAGAGCAAGTAAGAAAAAGTAGTAAAATTACAGCAGGCTCACAGAAGGAAAATAAAATCAGCAGTTCTCTTTCACTCTGTTTCTTTTGTGTCCAACTATTTAACATTTCCTTTATCAGGAAGAAAGAAGTGGTTGCTCTCTATGCATATGCCCAGGGCAAATAAAGAGCTATCAGTATTGGAGTATTACAATTAGTAGGGACTAGTACAAGGTTCCACATACAGGGAAGAAAAGTACTTCATAGACAGAATGAAATGAATTACTAGAGTTAGTATAGAAATGACACACATCCATAGTCCCAGCATTTGGGAAGATCTCTGTGAGTTCAAGGCCAGCCTGTTCTACATAATGAGTTCTGGGCTAGCTGGGGCTACAGAGAGACCCTGTTTCAAAAAGACCAAAAAAAGAAAAAGAAATGTCACTAAGCAGAAATGCTTAAAGGCTGTATAGTATGCCAGAGTTCATTCATATTGTTAGATTACAGGAGGAACTTGAGGTGGGCCTTTGCTCTTGATCCTGCTGGCCCATCCACTACCCAACCACAACACTACTATTAAGTTGAGCTACCACCTTCTCTCAGAGAATCAGAAGGTAATGATAGAACTTATTTTATTCAATCAAGATGTAGGAAGACTGGGTGTGGTGGCTCATACCTGCAATCCCAGTACCTGAGAGGTGGAGGCTGGAGGATCATTAGATCAAGGTCATCTTTAGCCGTATAGCAAGTTCCAGGATAGCCTGTAATACATGAGATACTGTCTCAAATAGAAGTTGCACAAAATGAGTTCAAGGAAGTTAACTGACTCTCAGCTAGGAACTCACAAATAGCAAATGGCAGTTAGTCCATAAGTTTGTAACTCATATTTTTGCTAGTTGTTGTCTTTCCCCGTCTCTAAATAGAATCAGCTTTAAACTTTTCTTCTTAAATCCACCATAGGGAACATAGCAGCATCAGGGTATAGTACTGCACTGAGACCCTTCAGTCTCCTTTACCCACTCCTACATCTCATCCCTCACTGCATCCTCTTGCTCTTACCTCCTGAGTTTCTCTGGAGTCTCTTCACTTATTTTTGTCTTCATTTACTCTTAAAATAAGCTCACTATCTTTTACCTCGATTATTGAATCTATTAGTCAGTTTCCTTATAGTTAGGCTTAACTCCCTCTGTCCATTCGCAACACTGAAATAACATGTAACATCCATTTATTCTTCTGTCCTGCAATTTTCCACTGCCTTCAAGGTGAAGTCCAGATTCCCAAATGTGGCTCCCAAAGCCCTACAGAGTTCGTTCAGTGCTGAATTATCTGTCCTCATCTCTCGCCATGTTCCAGCTGACAACCAACGGTGATGTCCATTTCAGAAGGATAGGGAAAAATATGAAGGGAAAAGGAAAGAAGGGAATAGAGATGGAATAGGGAGAGACTTGTTCTGCAAGATTGGTGCCTTAGCATGGCATTTCAAATCAATGTGGAAAAGAGTGGCCTTTGCAGTGAATAGGATCATGACAACTGCTTAACTAGCTGGAACATAAATTAATATAGCCCAATTTCACACCCTACCCTATGTAACTGCCAGTGAATTAAAAGCTTAAATGTAGGGCCACAAAAATGCTCAGGAATAGAAGCAACACAGGCAATTGGATGGTGAAGTCATTTTAAACTCAGCATGGCATAAAAGACACAAAGGAAAAGAAACCAATTATATAATATAAAATATTAAGCTTTTGTATGATTTTTAAAAAGACCAAACCAGGGCTGGAGAGATAGCTTAGTGTAAGAGCACTGGCTGCTTCTGCACCCACACGGTGGCTAACAACCATCTGTAAATCCAGTTCCAGGGACACCCTCTTCTAACCTCCCCTGGGCATTACACAACATGGGTGCACCTATCTACATGCAGACAATACATAAAATAAAAATACACATAAAATAAAAATAATAAGCCAGGCCTGGTGGCACATGCCTTTAATCAGATTGCTGTGAGTTCAAGGCCAGCCTGGTCTACATAGTGAGTTCCAGGCCTGTCTCCTCTGAGCTTGTTATGTCAGAGGTAGGAACTTCTCTTTGTTTTTTGGTAAAGTTTTATTATTTTTACATGTATGCATGTGTGCATGTGTGAGATTATGTGTAGTATGTACATGCAGGAGCCCTCGGAGGCCAGAAGAAGGTGCAGATACCCTGGACTAGAGTTACAGGTGGTTGTGACCCTCCATGTTGGTGCTGGGAACCAAACTCAGATCCTCTGCAAGAGCAATGAGTACTCTTAACCACTGCACCATCTCTCCAGTTCTATTTTTTAACTGAAAATTTTATTTTATTTAATTTTATTTATTTATTTGTGTGTGTGTCTGTGTGTGTGTATACCCACATGCTATGTTATGCATGTGGAGACCATAGGACAACTTTGTGGAATTGTTTTTCCACCTTTAAGAGGGCTCTAGGGATCAAACTTATGTCATCAAGCTTATGTGGCAAGCACTTTTACTAACTAAGCCATCTTACTGACCTATAGTTTTGGTTTTAATTTAATTAATTTTTTTTTTTGAGACCTGGTCTCCCTACAGCCCCAACTGACGTGGAACTCACTATGTAAGACCATGCTGGCCTCTATCTCACAGAGATCTGCCTGCTTCTCCTCTCAAGTTGCTGGAATTAAAGGCATGTGCCACCATGCCCAGCCCTTGTTTTTTAATTTAAAAAAATCCTTTTATTTATTTGTGTGAATGTGTATGTGGGTGTGGGAGTGCACATGCCACAGTGTGTGTGTGTGGAAGCCAGAGAAGCTTGAGGAATTGGTTCTCTCTTTCCAACTGTATGGGTCCTGAAGATCATACTCACATTGTCTTGCTTGGCAGCAGCCACTTTATCTACTTTAGCCATCTCGTTGGCCCTGTTTTATTTTTAGAGAACAGGTTTATTGAGCAAAAATAATGTAAAAGCATTGTTATTCTTAAACTTTACAGTTATTTATTATCTCTGCACCTTAAGAAAAAGCAATTAGTTTCTTGTTTTTTTTTTTAATCTTCTGAAGCAAGAGAGCCTTCTAATCATCCTTTGGGGAGTACTTTATTTTAAAAAAGCTTAGAAGCAACCGTATTGCCTCATCACACATCATAGGGGAGTTGTTGAATAAATTATGGTACAACCTTATAATACAATATCATATGATTATTAAACATGGTGATGAAGACTGTAATTATGATAAGATATTCATGATGTATGAGGTTCAGTGAGAAAAGGAGATTGTAAAATTGTAAAAATGGTCATGTTCTTATAAATACACATATTAACATATTTTATGAAAGAAAGTGATTAGAGTACACAGTTGTTATGTCTAGGTATTGTGATTTCAGGTATTTTGATCACATTTATTCTGAAACAACTTTATTGAGATATACCTCACATACCATACACTTTACCTATTTAAGGCACATAATTTAATAGCTTTTATTATATTCACAGAGTTGTGCAGCCATCACCACAATTCTAGAACATTTTCATTAACTCTAGACCTCTGCCTTTATTCTACTTTGTCTCTGTAGATTTCCTTGTTCTAGACATTTCATATAAATAGACTCATACAATATGTGATCCTCTGAGACTGACTTCTTTCATTCAGACAGTGTTTTCAAGGTTAATCTCTGCCATAGTATGTGGCAGAACTTCATCAGTTTTTGTGTCTACATAATATTTTATTATATAGATATATCACATTTTACTTATTCATCCTTCAGTGATGGGCCTTTGGGTTATCTATATTTGCCAGTTATTATAAATAATATTGTTACAAACGAGTTTTGTGTTGACATTCGACATATATTTTCATTTTTAGTAAATACATACTTAGGAGTGGAATAGCTGGATCATATGGTGATTCTATGTTTGAAGAACTTTCAAACTGTTTTACAAAAAGAGGAATGCACCATGTTACAGTCCTATCAACAATGTATGACAGTTTCTCACTAGTACTTAGTGCAACTATAAACGTTGGTTACCTCCCTCCCCTCTGTCAGGTTCTGTATGGCATTCTTGACCCTCTCCTCTCATTTAGTCCTTATGAGGACTTTTCAGTATTGAGAAGGGACTCTGGGGATGCTCAGTCAAGTGCATAGAAACCATAGCTATACTGGCATGTGTTTGTATGTTCATCCTGGTCCCGCCTCCTGCTATTGGAAAAAAATCCACAGTGGTGTGCACAGAGATGACCCTGAGTGCTATGACTACAAAAGGTCTTCTTTGTGCTTTTAAATATTTCTCCCTTCCTCTCTCACAGTGAGCACACATTACCTTTGTAAGTCAGACAAAAACTCAAATAAGCTAATGTAATACTCTGAGATTATATTAGATTTTATAATTATGATTAATGTAAATATATTTATCAGTCCTTTTGTTTCTACCCATAAAGGGCTTGTAACTCAATATTTACTGCATTAGAGAGGAGTCAAGAAGCAATTGAAATTACAAGTGAAGACCACATTATACAGGTTTGTTATTTTGGAAGTTTATGTTTCTGGATTTCTTGTTTTGTGTATTCTCATTTTAAGGATTATAGCCCTATAATATGATTATTCTTTTTCTTTTTGAAGTCTAAGAGACCAGTTCTTCCTGAGAGGATTATAAGAACAAAAATCAGTAAAATATGTAACTTAAACTCTCTAGATAAGAAAATCTAACAATAATTACTTATGGTATTAGAAATATAGAAATACCAGATTTGCACTCATTTCTCATAGGGTGGGTGAGTGTTTGCTTAACAAGGAGAGACTTACTCTAAAGGAGTACTTGTGAGATTGGCTGCAGCAGGAACCATAAGGTCACAGGCTTTCTTTGCTGTGCTTACACTTTTTCTCACTGTTCGTAGAGGTGCTTTAAATTTGTAGAAATTTACTAGAAACAGTTAAGAATGTCAAATATAAAGACGCTAGACTACCGTTGTTAGCAAAGTTGATTCATGTAAGTGACTTAAGATAACATGGCTTATACTTTGGCTAATAGCAAAAAAATGGAGTTGTTCCAAGGAAAGCATTCCTTTGGTCTGGGAATGAACTCCATTTTGATTTTGCTTCATTGAATCTAGCCTGTAACTCCATTTATCATTGGTGCTGACATTTGAGAGTTGGTGTTGAAAGGCAACATAAGCCAGTAGTTGAGGGCACAGGCTTTGCTTCTCATCTGCCTTGGCTGAGCATCTTTGGGCAAGTTACTTAATCCACCTAAATCTTCTTTCTTATCAGTACAAATGAGTGATAATAATAGCTGCCTACCTTTTGTAAGATTGTTTTGAAGATTACATGATTATATGTGTAATGTTATTGCTATGTTGTCTAGCAAGGAAAACAGTTTTTGATTAAAGGTATCAGTGACTATTTTATCATTATAGCCAACACATGCACAGCTTTCCCATATATTTTGTCTTTGTCTTATAGTCCTATTTGAAATTTAACAATCATTATATTTGTAAACACTTCCTAGTTTATAACCTGCTTTCCACACACATTATTCATTTTGAATCATATGAGATAGGCATGTTTCATTCCTGCCATCCAGATGAGCACTGACGGATGAAATGACTTACAGAGGTTCAACTGTGTGGAGAAGGCAGAGCCTGGGTATTCTGCAGCCCAAGCTGGTACTTTATTTCATGTAGCACCATTGGGCAGCTCTAGGTAGTAGGCCCATTTATATTGAGCAGATACCTTCCTCTGTCTTGGTTGAAACTAGAGTGAACTTGCTGCCTTCCTGTAGCCTCAAAAGGACACAGCAGAAAGCCCAGCCAGATGTCACCTAAGCAGAAGCACCTCCCTGTTACCAGGTTTTCATGGCTTTTGAACCTCCATGATGAAACCCAAGCTACCGAGTTTTAGGGGGTGGGGCACAGGAGTGCTTTGGTGGAAGACCCTTGTTACTCTCTTTTCTAAACATCTTTTAATTCACTTAATGTTTTGTCTTTTGTCTTTCTCCAGTATGCAAATCCTGCATTTGAAACAACAATGGGCTACCAATCAGGTGAATTAATAGGGAAGGAGTTAGCACAAGTGCCCATAAATGAAAAAAAAGGTGACTTGCTTGATGCCATAAACTCATGCATCAAGATAGGCAAGGTAAGTAGCATGTCAGTACTTTTGTCACTTTCAGGTAAGGAAGGAAGTTCACGAACACCACATGCACCAGGTGATCTCAGCCTTAGTCTTTTTAGTAGTCTCGGGAATCATAAGTAGTATTATCCCTGTTATTCCCATTTTACAGATGAGGAAACTGAAGACAAGAAATTATATGTTTAGCCAAAAAGCAAAGTAACTTGAATTGACTTAAAATCATTGGTTTTTCTTCTTCTTTTTTTTAATCTATGGACTAATAAGTTGATCTTTCGATAATTGATCTTCTAAGTAGTAGTTATTGGCACATGATTCTGGGTAAGGTTGTCAGTGAGGCAGCAGATCCTCAGAACATGTCTGAACCTCAGTCATTCATTGAGCAATTTTCAAATGCCTGCTATGTGCCAAGTACCAGGCTAGATGATGATGTTCTTTTTCTTCCTCCCCTTTCCCCTCCTCTTCCTCCCCCTCCTTCTCTTCCTCTTCCTCCTCCATGTTCTCTTTTTTTGGTGGGAGGCAGGGCAGGCTCTCCCTGTAGCCCCAGCTGGCCTGGAAATTGCTATATAGACTAGGCTGACCTCTATCTCACAGAAGTCTGATGCCTCTGCCTCCTGAGGGCTGGAATTAAAGGCATGCAACACTATGCCCAGCCTGTTTTTATTTATTTATTTTTTAGGCAGGATCTCATGTAATCCAGTGTCTCTTCTAGCCCCTGTTCTCTGTTCATGGGCCATCCTTATAGTTGCCTTATCCAGATTCCTAGAATAAACTGAGTCTCCCTTCACCTCGCCCTTTGCCTTCTTCATTAAGTCCATCCATCACCAATGCTGCTGGCTGTTAACTGGCTCATTCTGAGTGTATACCACCTGCCCCTGACCTGTTCCAGGCTGTCTTCATACCCTCTGGAATAATGGTGGCTGAATCCAATGAGAACTTGTTTCAAGATTCTCCACTGCTACTCTATCTACCCAATACTATGCTTGAACAGTCTTAGTAAATCATCATTTTATCGTGTTTCTCCCTTAGTATAGTGCTCAGATTGCTTAGCCTGGTGACCAAAATTCTGTAGTTGACTTCAGCCACTCAGTAAACAAAAGTCTCGTGTTCCTTGATTGTTTACCATGGGCAAGCACTGTGTTGGCCCTGGGGATAGGACATCTGGGTGATGGATGACTTAATTTTATGTCAAGTGCCAAAAGGGACTACATCAATAGCCATAGAAGCCCAGCTTGGTGTGTAGCTTACACCAAATAGTATCAGGGAAGCAAGGACCTTATTGTGTGCAGTAGAGAGCTGACCTCGGGACAGGATTATGCAAAAGCACTTATACTCCAGATAGGCTGGCTGCTGAATTTGTCATGTCAACACTTACCAACTATAAATCTTTATGACCACATTCTAAGGTAATGCTCTTATTCTCAGGAGCTCAAAGTTATATTGATACTTAAGTAAATGTATTTTATATATTTATAAGTAAATATGGTTTATGCTAAGTAAAATTTATTCTTTGCATTGGTGATTGGAAAACTTAAGAGTTATCGCTGGCTCTTTTGGGGGAATTGTGGAGCTTTGACTGACATGGCCTTATATATCTTGATTTGGGACCTATCAGCTGTCTGAGTTTATTCAGAAAGATCTAGAGAAGAAAATCCTGACTATATTTTTCAAAATGCAAACAGCTTGATCATACTGACCTGCTGTTTTTCTCTCCCTTCCTTCTGTCATCCTTCCTTCTTTTTTATTTTTTTCATATAACAAACAGTTCTGCTGAGATGCAATTCTCATACCATATAATTTACCCATTTAGTTCATATCATTTGGGAGACTGAGGCAGGAGGATCACTGCAGGTTTGAGATCAATTTGGTCTGTTTAGTCACTTTCAGGCCAGCCAGAGAACCCATCACAAAAAAATAAGCATAACGTATACAAGTCAGTGATTCTTAATATATTCATGTAGTTGTGCAAACATTACCACAGTTTACCACATTACTTTTGAAAGTAACCCTGAGACTTGTCTGCTTCCAGGGTGAACCCGTGGAGACTGCATACTCCTGCCTGGGGATCCCTGTTTAGCCCTTATTGGTCTTGGGCACAGCCTCACTTTGGACTGGCTGCCCTTAGAACTGAGCTGCTTGAGACCTGTTCCTCCCTTTTGTTCCAGTGCCAGCTATACATAGAGCTAGAGTCTTTGACATAATTTTTGATCATTGTTTTCAGACTTACGTTATTTTGTAGTAAATCTCAGTATCTACCTGATTATACTACCTTCTTTTTGACCCACTTTCCCATGGCCATCCAAAGATGAAATCCTGCTTTGGAATTTGCCTGCTTGTTGCCACATCCCAAAACATTGATTTCAGAATTGACCTTGTGTAAAGATTTGAAAGGAGACCTCAATAAATCCCCCAGAATGCACTGTGGTTCACTTCCCCCCAGGGACTGTGAAAGGACAAGAACATTATAGAATACTCTAGGAATTCAGTGTCCTACAGAAAGATTTAGGGATTTTTGTAGTTTAGGACCCGAGTGACTGGGAGGAATTCAGAACCTTTTCTGATGATGACAAGTCCCTAGCTGTCATCACCCCAAAGGGACACAAAAGTACTACAACTCTGTTCTCCCTCACAGTCATGTTCTTCCCTTTGCAAGGATCCCTGGCTGTGGTCCTGCAAGCGCTGCTCTCAAAATCACAGCCTTGAGCTTTGATGTTTCACCTGCTTGTGCTGCTGCTACTTGAGCTCAATTCTAGCTATTGCTTTATCACCCCACGCTGCAGAGGGACTGAATCCTCCCACATTCCAGAATGGCCTAAAGCTATTCAAAGTAAGAAGCTAAGTAGCAGCCCACTGTAGTAATGATCACAGACTAGTCTCCTCTGTTCTCTAGCTTGAGATTTCTCCTGTCCCAAACCCTAAGGAAAAGGGCCAGTTCCCTCCTTCACTGCAGCAGTTGGGAGTTAAGAAAGGAGGCATCTGTGTTGAAGTTAGGGAGTTCTCTCTTGCCAGCAGATTCCCACAGAACATATGACCAGTTAAACTGAGGTGACTTGATTTTTGTCACAAGAACTTGAGAGGGTGAGGAAGAATCAAGTTATTTGAATTGTGTTTGAGGTTGGGTTTTGTTTTTTTTTTTTTGTTTTGTTTTGTTTTTTAGACAGGATCTCACTATATAGTACTGGCTGGCCTGGAACTTGCTACGTAGATCAGGCTGGCCTCAAACTCGCAGAGATTTGCCTGCCTTTACCTTTGGAGTGCTGGGATTAGAGGTGCCCAGCTGGGATCATTTTTAATCCTAATTTCTTTTGAAATGACTAGTGAATCAGAACCAAAGTGGAAAATGTTCTTGGGTTTCTGTTTTGAACCCAAAGTGTAATGATGCTTACATTTCATTTATAGGAGTGGCAAGGAGTTTACCATACCCAAAAGAAAAATGGAGATAATATACAACAGAACGTGAAGATAATACCTGTCACTGGGCAGGGAGGGTAAGTAGAAAAAAATGTACTTCAATCAGCATTCTGTCTTTTGAATATGCTTTGAATGTTTAAGTAAACTCAGAACTGCTTGCAGTAGTGTAAGAGGCTAAGAGCAAGGCCAGATATGTCAGAGGATGAACTTCCAGGGTGGTGCTTCCTTGATGACCCTCCACCTGCAGCCCAGAGCCACCAGACTTGGGGAAGTCTTGTATATGCTGGGTGGATGCACAAGAGTCTGCAGTGTTAATATTTAATTTAGAGTGCCCATTTCTTTCTCTTCCTCCTCCTCCTCCAGCATCATCATCATCATCATCATCATCATCATCATTATTTTGTCTTTTTGAGACAGGGTCTCCCTGTAGCCCCAGCTGGCCTGGCCCTTGGTATATAGACCAGGCATCATCATCATCATTATTTTGTCTTTTTGAGACAGGGTCTCCCTGTAGCCCCAGCTGGCCTGGCCCTTGGTATATAGACCAGGCTGGCCTCAATCTCACAGAAATCCGCCTGCCTCTGCCTCCCAAGTGCTAGGACTAAAGGCATGTGCCACCACACCCGGCCAGAATGTCCATTTCTTAAACTGTGTGCTGAAGATGCTGAGTGGTAGGTTCCCTATGTTCGTAAGCTTTTTATGTAAGTGGATATGGTTATTTCTGCAAAGAACTGTCAGATATGTTGGGCCTGAGGAAATGGCTCAATGGGTAAAGAGTTTGCTGTGCAAACATGAGTTCAGATCCCCAGGTGTGGAATTACACTTGTAACACCAGCACTGGTGGTGGAGACATGTAGATCCTGGGAGCTTGCTGGCCAGCTAGTCTGGCTGAAATGGCAAGCTCCAGGTTCAGTGAGAGATCCTGTCTTAAAACATAAGGTGGAACAGGCACACACTTTTAATCCTAGCACTTGGGAGGCAGAGGCAGACAGATTTCCATGAGATTGAGGCCAGCCTGGTCTACATTATAAGTTCCAGGCCAGCTAAGGATAAAGGGAGATCCTGCCTCAAAAATAAAAATAAAATAAAAAAATAAGGTGGAAGCAATTGAGGAAGGCATGCCAAGGTCAGCTTCTGGCTTCACACATACTCACATAGGAAAGCACATTCACATGTGCCCAATACACACATAGATGCACACACAAACAAATCAGATGTGACAGTAGATTGGAAATCATAAGTATATATCAAGAGCCTAAAATTTTTAGATGACTTGTCTTAGAATCTTATCAAAATAATAGTTTCCAGAAATTTCTGACTATAAATTGTAGAATACCCAACAATAAAATTTACAACTTTATAAATTATGATCATGGAATATTAAATTATAATAAGAAATCTTATGATATCATTTTAAATACAAAAAAACCCCAAAATGTAAAGTCAGACCCAGTATGTGATCACAGTCAGGAAAAGGAAAGAAGAAAAGAGTAGGAGGAAGTGAAGCCCCACGCTTTCAGGAGCTGCCTCTGTTCACTCAGCCCTTCCTCCCTAGCAGGGCTCCCTGCTAGTGACAGATGTCATTTCATTTCATCCCAAGTGGAGCCCTGTTTGGTTGGCAGAATGATGTCTCCATTTTACAGATGAGGAAACTGAAACGTAGAGAGAGGTCTGGTTTCTGGTCCTAGCCCTGGCTGCCGTGTGTGATGGTGCCTGGTGTAGCCCTCAGCACTGACTGCACAGCTCATGTGCTTTGTTAGCAGACTTTGCTACCAGTTGGTGATCGCCTCAGGGAAGCAGATCTGTGGGCTCTCTGTTCTGATTCTTCATTCTTTTATGTCCTTTCCAATTTTTTTTGTGATAAATATATAGGGATTTGATTATGGGGGTGAAGTGAAAAAAACTGAGGAAACAATAAATGAATGGGACAAGTCACTGCTTCTGAGCTCAGATCTCATTGCTTTGTTTTAGACTGTAGGGTAATCTCAGCTGGGAACCTTGGCCCTGTGTGGCCTGTGGCTATTTCTGTAAGTGACTCTAAGTAGAATATTGGAACTCAAAAAAGAGTGTCAGTATCAAAAGTTGTCAAAATGGCAACATGTTATGAAACTATAGGCTCCTGTTGGGTAACATGTTATATATATATATATATATATATATATGTGTGTGTGTGTTTTTTTAAGTTTTAAATTTTACTTTATTTTGGGGCTGGAAATTTACCCCAGCAGTTAAGAGCACTGGCTGCTCTTGCAGAGGACCTGGATTCAATTCCCAGCACCCACATGGCAGCTGACAACCATCTATAATTCCAGTTCCAAAGGCTCTGATGCTCTCTTCTGACCTTCACAGGCATTGCACGACATGAATGCACTTACATACATGTAGGAAATATACACTTAAAAAAAAAAAAAAATAAGGGCTGGGTGTGGTGGCACACGCCTTTAATCCCAGCACTCAGGAGGCAGAGGCAGGCAGATCTCTTGAGTTCAAAGCCAGCTCGGTCTACATAGGGAGACCGTGTCTCAAAAAGAACAAAAAATAAAAATAAAATAAAAAAATTTTAAATTATTTTATGTGTATTAAGTGTTTTGTGTGTATGTATGTAAGTGCACTGCATGTGTGCAATGCCTGTGGAGGTCAGAAGAGGGCATCACATCCCCCAGAACTTGAGTTATGAATAATTGTTAGCTACCACATGGGTGCTGGGAACTGAACCCAGGTCCTCTGCAAGAACAGTAAGTGCTCTTAATCACTGAACCATCCCTCCAGCCCCATAATATATTCTTTAAAGGCATATGTATTTTTTTTATTGTATGTTGAAATAACTGAAGAAGTAATTAAGTTAATTCTTTTCTCCAGAGACTTAAGAAGATGTTTGTAAGCTTTTAATCATTTGCTGGTGACCTTGATCACACAAAAAAAGAAAAAATAGGAGAAGAAATGCTCTCAAAGTGATTTGTATATTGTGAAAAAGGAGGTGCTTTTCTTTTCTTTTCTTTCCTTTCCTTTTCTTTTCTTTTCTTTTCTTTCTTTTTTCTGTCTTTTTGAGACAAGGTCTCCTGGTAGCCCCAACTAGCCTGGAACTCACTATATAGACCAAACTCAGAGATCTGCCTGCCTGCCTCTGCCTCTGCTTCTGCCTCCAGAGTGCTGGAATTAAAGGCGTGTGCCACCACGCCCAGCTTTTCTTTTTTCTCTTTTTTTTTCTTTTCTTTTTTGAGACAGGGTCTCCCTGTAGCCCCAGCTGTCCTGGAATACTCTGTGTAGACCAGGCTGGCCTGAAACTCACAAAGATCAGCCTGCCTCTGCTTCCCAAGTGCTGGGATTAAAGGCATACGCCACCATACCCGGCAGGGGATGCTTTTCATAATGAAAAATTAACTACATAGCTATCACGTTAGAGTCAGGAGAAAAATAATGCATTGTTTTCTACTTACAGAAAAATCAGGCACTATGTGTCCATTATCAGAGTGTGCAATGATAACAATAAGGTAGGTAAGGAGAGCCCTGGGACCCAGGCATTCCCCAGTGAGATTTCCAGACAGTTGAAACTAATGAATTGTAAAATTCATTTTTAGGTTGAGAAAGTATCTGATGGTGTTCTGACCGACAGTCAAACAGGTATGATGACTCATATTCATTCTTAGGGTTGAGGGTTTTTTTTGGGGGGAAACTACAGATCCTTCCTTTGATGGACCTGCCTTGTACAGTGGTGGGACCCTGTTTTCCTAGCACCAGGACAAGCCCAGGGTGGTTTGAGTTGAAGAATCTGCTTGCTCTGGGCATCTTGACAGGTGCCTGGGATTGGTTCTAGCCTATGCTGAGAGAACTGATGAACTCCATGATTCACGTCCAGATATGTTGGATGAAGTATGATTTTATAACCTGATCTGTGCTTTAAGAGGCAGACAGGGTTGGGTGGCCCACCATAGTACTTCAACAAGGATATCTTCAACTACCCTGACAGTCATTACCACCACCCTGCAGGTGGATATCTGCGCTAAAATGGAGCCCAGGCATGTAAAAGGAAGAGAATGGCAGGAAAAGGAGTCTGGCAAATTCCTGGAGACCACCTTCATCAAGGAGAAAGCTGAGCAGAGAAAAGGGTCAAAAGGAAAGGAATCTAGAGAATATCACCACAGCAGCTGAGGGCAGAAAGAAGTACTGGGTGGTCAGGACTGGACAGCACAGCGAGTGCAGGGCAGGGAACCAAGGATCAGAAATGCAGAGACTTTGATGTCACATTCAAGAGCTACTGAGCTGTCAATGTTCAGGTTCCCAGAATGGTGAGGCAGAAGCCAAGCTTCAGGAGACAGTGGAGTTAGAGCAGAAGTAGCAGAAAGGCCTGTTCTGGCAAGAATCCTATACTATAAGCTCACAGAGCACATTGCTTGGTTTGGTTGTTAGTAGTGTTCTATTTCAGTTTTCTTAGGATAGCCCAGAGAAGTGAACATAACTGTTATTAACACTCCTTTATTACAAAAGAAGAAACAGGGTCAGAGAAGTTAAATGACAGCCTAGAGTTAGACACTAGGAAATGACAGAGGTGGGCTTCTTGGGAGGCATAGTCAGTGATAGTCACAGGAAGTGTAAGGCAAGGTAGGAATCGCCCCATCCTTACTGTGCTGCACCATTTGTACTTGATCAGGGTTCACTTAGGAGCTGTAGCAATCATCCAGATGAGTGCCCTCCTGGCCCATCTGAATCCCCTTGGGAAGCAAAATAGCTCTGCACCTGAAGATCTCAGGGTTGTTTTGCCTTAGTGGGCCAGGTGGGGCTATTATAGGCCATGACCAACAGAAGTCAGTTCCCAAACAGAAATGGAGTTTATTGGAAGGAAATAGAACAGCTTACAGACTGGATAAGAGTTCAAGAACCAGTTTGGGAAAGGGGTCAGGAACCAAGGGATGCTAGGCAGCTGACCCCACTGCTCTAGGCAACACCACAGGTGCAGCATAGTTGGGTACCACCTCTGTCAACACTGGACTTTGGGAACTACTAGCTCTAGTGAGAGCCATGTCCCAGGTCTTGTTTCCTGGCTTCACTTGTTCCAGTGAAAACACAGAGAAGGTACTCATTTGCCTGGGCCTAGGTCACCTGCTATTTCTGTGCTACTCAGGTATGGAACAAGGCAGCCTCTACCTGCCTCCCTTCTGTTACGGTAGGTCCTGGATTTCTCTAGACAAAATAAAAGAGTTTGAGAGTCTGGGTGTCTAGAAAATTAATAAGTTCCATCACATGCTCCCTTTTTCTTAGCCCATGTGTCATTTTTAGATGATGCTCTGTCTCAATAAATGTACCAAATGACTGTAGCTTAACAATGGTTCATTCTATACATTTTGACTGTTCTGGCTTCAGGGGCCGAACATGGGGGCTCACGATAGAAGATCAGAGTAATCTGAATATACTGTACTCTATAGTACTATACAGTGGGAAGCTGGGGGCACCTCAGCAATAATGGTGATTCTGGAAGAGAGTAGGGCCAAACAAAGAATGAGAAGAAGGAAGAATGAAGAAGGAAGAAGAAACAGACAGGAGAGGGGTGTGCCAGCAAGGAAGGCTGAGTGAGACAGTTAAGAGAGAAGGGTCAGGTCTTACAAAGTTGTGGTAATAGTATAAGGACTGAAGGCAGAGAAAACAGTAGAGACTGGATCAAGAGGTCCTTAGGGATAATCAGGTGGCATTGGAAGCTGACATACTGTGAGGATAAAGGAAAAGGACTTGGGGGTGACAGTACAACTTTTAGCTTGTCCCTTGGATAGCAATGATTAAAATGATAAGTGAAGGTAAAATCATGAGAAAAACTAAGGGGGAAGGAAAAGTTAGATTTGAACTTAAGACATCTGAAGTGGAGATATCTGATAGTATTTGGAGGCAGGCAGAACTCTGGGCCTTGCACTGAAGAGGCAGGAAGGCAGGAAGAACAAGCACTAAAAATGGTACCTGACAAGGTTAGATGTTTAAAGAATGAGCAAGGGAGCTCTGCTGAGCAGATGTAGAATTCACTCACTCAGCCCAACCAGGCTTGTGCACCAGGTAGAGTCTGTGTCTCTGCTTAGGAGACTCCTGTATTCTAGCAGGAGGGAGAGGTAGAGAGTAAGCAGAGTATATCAGATGGTGCTGTAGGGAGGAAAATGCAGGGGATAGGAGGGTGGCCAGAAAGGCCTTGCCGCATGATAAGCTCTGCCCCCCCCCCCATAGGAAGTGGACCAAGACCTCGGGTACTTCACAGGTCTTCTCATCAGCTGCCAGGGCTAGAACCATTGCTGCAGATACCACAGTCTTTTGAAGAGATATAGAGCATCCTATATATCTGGAGATAGGACCACACCCCACCCCCAGGAAGAGTGGCAGGTACCATGTCTGGAATTGTAGGCGGCCAGGGACCATGGGTCTGGCAGATAGGTGCTCCTCACAATTGGGAGCTTGTGATCTCAGCAGACTGCTAAAGCATGAGCTCAGGTTTCCCTGGATTGTCCCAGAAGGCCATAGACATGCTAATGTTTCTCAAAAGATGAATAAAGTCTAAGGATCTTGTTTTCTAGACTAGGAAATCAAGAGCAGAATCGTAGATGGTGCTAAGCCAAAGCTCTAGTTTTGAAGGCCTATTTGGAGTTCTCTCCATCTATAAGTATGATACCATATCAGATTGATCTGTTATCTGTTGAGTGTTCACTACAATATGAGGCCCTGGGCTTGGTGCTTCTTCAGGAGCTTGCAGTCTTTTAGGGATATGAACTTTATGTTTCCTCATTGGTCCCCTAGGTATGCCTTGAGGGATGTATCTGAGAGCCAGGCCCTAGGCATGAGGTCAAGGCATGTGTGCCCTACTTCCACCTGCTGTGTGAAAATTGCCAAAGAGTCCTCTATAAAGAGCTACAGGGACACAGAAGGACCAGCATTCCCAGCAGGGATTAGGGGAGAAGTAGGATCTAGTATTTATATAAAGTGACTTTAAAATGTTTCAGTGGAAACTAAATCTTCTCATAATTCTTCTACTCTTGACATAGCCCCATCCTTACACATGTGTTTGGAACCCAGGTGAGGCTGAAGTAAAATGGCCACACAGGAATTAGGTAGAGCTATAGGAAGCAGGAAGCAGTGAGAGCTTTGAAGGAGGCTGTGCTGGCTGAGATGAGAAAGAGGAGTGAGGATAAAATCCTTTGGAAACCAACCTTTGGAAATGCCAGGGGGCTGGGAAGAGGTTATGAAAGAGAGAAGGAAGTAGTCAAAGGTAGTAAGACAGAAAACTTGCAGAGTATGGATCCTGAAAACAGAGGGATTGTGTCTAGTCGATCCTGAGACAGGATCGATTGTGTGTAGTCAGTAAGAACCAACCTGTGGCCGTCAGAGTAAGCAACAAGGTCATCAGTGACCTTTGCAAATTCACACACAAGCACATGGAGAAGAGACTCTGGCTTATGTTTGGTCAGGAAACAAAGAACATTGGCTGGGAATGTTACTCAGCAACACAGCACTTGCCTAGAGCACCTGAGGCTCTGAGTTCCATCCTAGCACCACAAAACAGCAACAAAAAATCAAGTGAAGAACTTTCTCCACAGTGCAGGGGAACATGTAGGGCCTGCACTGGGATCATGCCTTGGACAGAGAAAGAAGAATCAGGTAAGGATACCAATCCAGGAAGAGAAGCTCTGCCACATCCTAGAAGGAGTGGACCCAGAGGGTCCTGCTGGTCTCTGTGTTCATCTGATGATTTGCTCCCAGTTTCCTTATCTGTGAGATAGGGACACAAGTTGTTGCCCACAAAGCTGTCAGCACCACACTGGGCATCCAGCAGGTATATAGAGGAAAGGCAGGAAGGAAGATTAGACTTGTGTTGTCAGTGATCAGATGGGGCAGGAGCTGGAGAGTGGTCATATAACTCTTATTTGGAACTCAGGATAACAGTGTCATTCTTTAAAAGGGGAATCAGAGAGAGAAAGGTAAATTATCCTTCTAATGTCCCCCAGACCACATTCCCCATATTACCCTAGGAAAGAGAAGAACATTCTCCCAGGATATTTCAGGGAAAATAAGTAAAGATTTTCTTTTCTCTTTTGGGACAAAGGTGAATGAGAATCCAAATGCCTCTGTTTTATTCAGAAGTATAATAGGGGAAATTCTGAGGCCATTTCTTCTGCTTGTTACTTTATGTCTTTAGACTCTGTAAAGCTTTTGAGAAAAATCAACCTTCTCAAAGCCAAGGTGTTTAGTCTGCATTTCTGTGCATGGTGCTGATTTCTGTGGCATAAACAGTTTTAAAATTTAGCTTTAACCTTTGCTAATTTGTTAATATCTCTATAAAGAGATGATTTATAGTTTAATTGTTCCCACAGATAATCAGTCAGGCAAACATAAAGACAGGAGGAAAAGCTCAGTGGACATGAAGGCTGTTGCTTCTCGAGCAAGTGAAGGTGAGTGACAGACTGGATTGTGTAGGCTTTGAACAAAGGAGGCCTGACTCTGCAGCTTTGCCTCCTAGTCACCATGCACTATACATTTACAGGAAGAGAAGGGCCCTCTAGGAACCAGTGTCCTGTCCCACCTTCCACGCAGAAGAATTCCATTCTGAGCCTTTGAATGGAATCAGTAATAAGGGAAAATCAAAGAGATAGGTATTAAGTATTCTGTATGATTTTCTGAAATCATTTTTTTAACTTAAAAAAAACTTTATTGAGAATTTCATATATGCTAGAAGGTGTTTTGATCAAATCCACACCCACCCTCTCCCCTCCAACACCTCCCATATTTCCTCATCACTTTTTTCTGACAATTTTGTGTATTTTCTTTCTTTCTTTCTTTCTTTCTTTCTTTCTTTCTTTCTTTCTTTCTTTCTTCATTTCAGCCTGAGTATTCTTCAATATTTCTCTTTTCTCTCTCTCTCTCTCTCTCTCTCTCTCTCTCTCTTTCTTTCTCTCTTATATGGGGCTTTTTGCTACTCTAACATTACCCCTCTGAAGAGGTAACCCTAAAATCTTTTAGGGATTAGATAAGAGCTCCCAAATACTTTTGTCATTTTTTTGGCCTTTGGAACAGAGTATGCTACTAAGAGGCCCAAGAAACTTGGCTACTTTTAGCCAAGAAACTGGCTACTTTTCTTTGAGGTATTTTTTACCCTAACTGCCTAGCCAATTCCTACCTCCTATTCTTAACACAACATCCTCTGAAGAGGTTACCCAAATTGCTGATAGGGAATTGGGATGCACACCGCTCTGGCAAGTCCATCTCGTGGGGTATCTGTGGCCTCCCTGAACAAGAGGACAGGTGGCTCACCACAGTTACAGAACATTTTGAGAGGTGTTCCATAGTCCCCTGGAACTTAGTCAACCTTGAAGGGCAAGGGGCAAAATCTGTCCTTTAAGTCCCTCTGACCACATTAGTATAAGCCTCAAAGTATGGCTGTTAAACATCCAATAATGTTAGTTCCACCAGTCTGGTACTTTTAATTACCATGTGCTATGTAGATAAAGCTAGGGTAAAAAACCAAATAGTCTTAGATAAACCTTGACTAGATATATATTTTGTTTCTTAAACTAGTTGACTAAACTATGAACATAGACATTTTAAGATTATGTGTATATTATTTTTGTCTCATCCTTTATATATCATAACAAACCTACACAGACCTTCATCACTTGCTGATATTTTAGCTCTTAGTGTTTGTGCAAAGGATAAACATATTGGGAAGTTTTGAAACTCCTCAAAGAGACTATTTGATTTACTTTTTTAAAAAATCTTTTTGAGACAGGGTTTCTCTGTAGCCCCAGCTGCCTTGGAACTCACTATGTAGACCAAGCTGGCCTTGGACTCACAGAGATCTCCCTGCCTTTGCCTCCCAAGTGCTGAGACTACAGGCGTGCACCACCACGCCCAGCTCTTTTTTTTTTTAAATAGTTATGAGACATAATAGCATTGACAAATAAATTTTCCATCTGTTGTGAGAATTCTTTTCCTGGGGATACTAAGCAATGCTTGTTCCCTTTTAAGATTCTAGTGTTAAGCCAATGTTTGATTAAAGTTTTCCTGGGGAACCAATGAATTTACTAAGCTTACTTACAAGGATGACTGAGAGGTTGCTGAGGTATGAGTGACCTTGGGGTATGCACACTGGAAAGCCTTTACCCAGCATGGATCAAGGCTTCTCTTCCTAGCCTTCCCCAGATGATATACTTTAGTCCTCCCCAAATCCAGGAGACCATGTGTGATTAGGGCCAAATTACATACAGGTGGCTGGGAAGAGTGGCTAGATACTCATTTTTTTGGTCTATTTTGGAAAATATCTCCATTTCCATATCCTTTTAACATCTTTCACATTCTCATTTTCAATTTTTTAAAATAAATATGAGATATAATTGTATTAACAAACACATTTTCCATCTTGACCCTGCTTGGCCCTCCTTTAATGAATGAGCACAACTGTCAACAAGCCCAATTGTGACAATGTTTAGTGATCAGGCACAGCTGAAGTCCTGATGATGGTAGATATTTCATGCAGTAGAGACTGCTATACAGCATCATCTTATTAAAAGGACATGGAATTTAAAGGGATTTGGTGCTAAGATCCACATATGAGGGAGAACATGTCGTTTGTGTTAAGGTTCAGATAGCCCCGCCCCCTCACCAACAGGGCCTCACAAGCCCCTGAGAAAAGGGAACTGAGTTGATAAGCACCCTGGTCTTTGAAGTCAAGAGAAGCAGACTTTTCTCTACTGTTTGGCCAACACAGCAGGCTTCCCCTTTGATCTCTAAAAAAGACAGGTTTTAACAGTCCCATTCTCCTGCTCCCCCCCCAACCCAACTTAAAAAAAAATATCTTCCTGCCTTCTGCACCCCCCAGAAGCCTCCTCCTTTAAAAGACCACAGCTCATGATCTGGGCAGACATTTTCCCTGCCTGGAAGGGAATCTGTCCCATGTGTTCCTTTGCTAATAAACTCTATTCCAATGGAGTTTTTATCTGTGTCCTGGTGCTTTCTCGAGATCAACCGGATTCATTCATAGGCTGTTTTACCTATCAGTTTGTTTTTCTGAGTCTGTGTTACTTCATTTAGTATAAGAGTTTCTAGATCCATCCAGTTACCTGCAAATTTCATTATTTCATCTTTCTTTACATAACTCCATTGTGTAAATATACCACATTTTTGTTAACGACTCGTCAGCTGAGAGGCACTTAGGTTGCTTCCATCTCTTAGCTATTGTGAAAAAGAGCAGCAACAAACATGGTTGTACAAGTGTCTCTAAAATAGGATGTCCTTTGGGTATATGCCAAGGAGTGGTATAACAAGGTCATATGGTAGGTTCATTTTTAGTTTTTTAAGAGTTCTCCACACTGTTTTCCATAGAGGTTGCACGAGTTTACAATCCCACCAGCAGTGAATGAGCATTCCCCTTTCTCCATATCCTCTACAGCATTTGATATTTGTTCTCTTAATCCTAGCCAGTCTGGTTGAGGTAAGGTTTTAATCTGCTTTTCCCTAATTACTACTGCTGTTGAACACTTTTTGAGATGTTTTTTAGCCATCTTTATATCTTCCTTTGAGAACTCTCTGTTTAGATCTTTAGCCCATCCTTTTTTTTTTTTTTTTTTTTTTAAAGAAGGGTCCC